ATGCACAGTTGTGCCAAATGTTCTGAAGCAAGATCTGCTTAACTTGAAGTTGTAAATGATTTAAGTCTTACTGTGATTCAGTATAAGAATAAAGATTATATATTTCTAATGAAAAGCCAGACTTTTCAGGAATAATGCAGCTGTGCATTCAAAAAAATCAAGTTTAATGCTCCACTGTTTCACTTTGTGGAAATAAATGAGCAGGTTGACATTTATTTTAGGAAAGTCTAAGTTATCTGAAGCAGCATTGATTGATAGTTCCAAGCCGTTTTTGTGATGGTAATTAAAAATTTTTAAAAGCCAATTCTTCGTTCAAGCATGAGTTGTATTTTGCTCTGTTTCCAGTATGGTGGTTTCTGTCCCAACTCTTAAAAGTTAATGCTGTTTTAGTTCTGTGGTAGTGTATTCTGGCAACATTGTTTATAGTATTTGTCTCTGGAAATGAGTGCACCTAACCTAAAAGTGTGAAAAAGATAAGAAAAGAATAAAGGCCACATAAATACAAATAATCAAACTTTTTGTTGGTGTACTTTTGCGAACACTGCATTGAGATAGCTATGTGATTATAGTCCATTGAAACCATTTTTGTAGCTTCAAACTGAAACTACTCTGAAGTGTTGAATATTCGAACTAGATTTGCACAAACTGTTTTTAAGCTTTCATAGTTTTTCATAAATCGGTGCTGGCCACCATAATAACAATTAATATATGATTGCGTGACCTGCTTTTCAGATTTCTGAGAAGCAGCCTGTAGAGTAAAGTTTTAGCTTTAAATCTCTCCGCTAATAATTTCACATTTGTATGTGATTAGTACATGTTGTTCTTCACTTCAAAATGAAGCGCGCAAATTTAGTTTTGATTATTTTTTTATAAACACAAAGGGGACCATGGTGTTTGCTGGGTAGTGATCTGGTAGTCCAGGTAGCTTTTGTCAGGAGGCCTGTGTTTTGTCAACCTGCATAATTTTAAAGATTTCAAGACGCAGAATTTGTGATGTAAGTTCCTAAGTCAGAATTTCACTCTGACTCTTCATTCTGTGTGTTACCATCTCATTTTCTTTCTGGGTCTGATGAATCTCCTATTTTCAGTCTGTGTGTTCCAGGTATTTCTGCATACGTAGCCACCAGGCTTTGGGAGTACATTGGCATAGTTCAGAGCCTGTTTATAGTCACAAATACCTGCCAGCAGAATTTCTACAGGTGTCTCTAGTTAGGCTGTCTAAATTCACTGTACAGCAGATGGCACTGGAAGAGCACATCAGTGGGAGACTTCAGTGGTGCCATAATTAGTACAAAATACTAGCAAAGCTGTTGCAGTGCTGAGGGTTGTGAAGAAGTTGAATAGTTCATTTCAATGTGTTCCAGGAAGGGGTGCATGCTGGGCTCTTCTGTTTCAGCTCTTCTAGATGTAGACAGTGGAAAATTCTACACTTGCAAGTGTATGAGTGCATCTTATATTGAGGGCTGTTTATACAGCACTTTTAAACACATTAATATGCAGTGCAGAATTACTGGTATTTTTTTAAGTACGTGCAAAGAAAGAATATCTGGATCAGTTAGGGTATTTTGACTTCAGGGTATATTTGCTTTCTCCTGACTTCTGCATCTCCTGTGTAAGAGATGTCATAAAGTAGAGTGGTTCTCATATGGAAGACTTGTTCAGAGGTTTGCTCTCATCTGTAGGTGTGTTCAGTTTACTTCAGAGAGCTTTGACCCAGACTGTCACTCGCTAGATGTTACTGTCTTTTCCTGGATGAATGAGCTGGACTTCTGGATATATGCATGTTGTTTGTGGTTTATATTTGAACTTCAAACCTTTATTATTCTTTATATGAAATGTTACAATGATAGAAGTAATGAATTGTGCATTTGGACAATCATGCACTTTGCTTGATAAAGATATTGGCTACTAAGGTAGGCTGAGAGATGTAAAATACTTTTTTGCTCAAGTGGGCTCAGTAGTCACTCTGAAAGTACAAAATTTTGACTTCTCTATATGCTGTCATAGAGATTTATCTGTTGAGATTATTTTTAGATTTTGTTTTTTCATTTGTAAAAAAAACACATTTTGATACAGAAAGACTAGTACGTGATAAGAATCTGTTCTTTCAAGTGACTCGCTTAGTCTTTTAGTTATGGAGAAGCTGAAGTTAGTTCCTTCAGTCAAACTTTAGGTAACTAATTCTTTTGAAACACACCAATAAAAAAAAAATCAGTGAACCAGACAGTTTGGGACTCTATACATGTTCTCTCCTCAGTCAGCAATGTGATAATGTTATTTTATTTTTCTCCCTAGTTTAGAAGGCAGATTTTATTTCATGCTTGCTTTTTTAGGGTTAGGAATTGCAAACAGTATGATGTACTTCCCAGAAGGATGGGGAAACGTATCTGGTAAAGTGGGAATAGTATCAGCTTGTGGATGTTAGTCAGAAGCAGTTGGAGAACATTGTGGATTTCACAAGTGGGGCTAATGTGAGGGTTCCCAGGCTTCTGGTACTACATACACAAAGGCACAGTTAAGTTTATCGAATGAACAAACACTCTGACTTTGTCAGTTTAGGAGCAGTGTAGAATCCTGAAGTTATATTTTTCACTCATTTTGTAGGTTCATTTAGTTACACACGATGAAAAGAGTACTGTAAATTGGTAAGATAGCAAAATCCAAATGGTTTAGGAATAAAGGTCAGCAAGGCATTTCGAGTCTACTTTTAACTGACATGTAACTCTCCCTTTATCTGTATCTAGCTTTTTCTTAATTACTGTACTTTGTCTGTTATTCTGTTACGCCAGATTTCAGGCATCTAAAACCCACTAAATGTATTCTACTCACGTTTGGTTTTCAGTACTTCCATATTTCCCAATTATTCCAAACATATGGAGCTCATATTAAATACCAGTATTTTAAAACATGAAATTTTATGATTCTGCATGTATCTGTCATAAGAAAAGGAATATAAAAGTAATGTCTTAACCTTTGAAAATACATATGCATATATCAGTCTCATCTTCAAATTGCGTAAGTGGAATACGTTTTTTTAAGGTGTCAGGACTCCAGGTACCACAGGAGTCGTGTTAAAAGTGGAGAATAAGCAGTGAACTTCTAATAAAATATTGGTCCTGTTTTTTTAAGGTTTTAATATTCATTTATAGCAAGAGTAGGTTCTTAATCTTCTTGTTTGTTTAGGAAACAAGTTTTTTGGGCATGTTTGTTCTTTGCTGATGGCAAGTAAATCGGTTTACAGGCAGAAGAGAAACCTTTTAGTTTCTCCCCATTGAGAGAAAGGAAAGGAAATTGCTGTTTAGTTTGGTAATTAAGAAAAGGAAATGGGAAGAGCTGATGATACTCTAAAGATGGACCTGGAAAATGTTGGAGGTTATGACAAAGACAGAACAGGTCTTTGAGGTAGGGTGATGCAAGATAGCGTAGGGAATTTGAAGATAGGACTCGGGTACAAATCCAAGTAAATCAAGCTTTAGTGCTTCTGCTGTTTGAGAACAGTGTTCAACCCCCCCGCTGCAGGGCTTTACTTAAAATTTTTCAAGGTATTTTGAAGTTCAGAATCCTTAGATGCCTTACGTTGTCTTTTAGTTTGCTTTGGATAAGATCCTTTAGCCTTTGTGTTCTTGAAGACCATGAAAGCTGGGCTGGACAAGAGTAATAGTCAATGGACTGCTGTTTCATTATAGTAATCATTTTACTTACATGCATTTATGCTATTTTTGAATGGTTATTTAAGAAAAACATTGTTTTATCAACTAAACTTAATTCAGGTCATTGTACTATTTTTCTCCGTTGCTTATATTGTGATACCATGGGAGAAAAGTGGGAAGTGTGTACGTAAGGGCTGTTTAATTTCCCCTCAGCCTCCCAAACTTGGAAGATCACTTGAAAGATTCTTAGACTCCTCCAGCTTGCCATGCTTAGCCTGGTGCCAGGCTTGCTGCTGCAGTTTGTGCTGCTAACATAACATGTATTTGGAGGTACATGGAAAAATGACTACTACTAACTGTAGGACCTACTTCTGTGGCAGCAGCAACTTCCCTCTCTTTTCTTTCCCTTCTTGTTCTTCCGCTCTCTGCAGAGCTGCTTGCTTTGGAAGGTCTAACAGACACTAAAAATTAAAAAAAAACCCAACCCAAAACAAAAACCCAAAAAACCCCCAAACCCAAAAAACCAAACCCCAAACAAAAAAAACCAAGCTGAAAAGTCAAATTTATGGAGGGGGTGGGTACATGACTCCAGAAGGTGCCGGGTAGGAGGACTTGACTGGGACTTGAGCAGATGTGTCCACTTAGTCTTGGCAGAAGTACTGGAGAAAGAAAAGCTGTAATAGTACTAGGCAAGGAGTGCTGTGATGTGACCTCCTCTATACCTAAAGGAGTTTGGAAATCACTTTTCTTTCACAGAAATTCAGGAGGGGACTTCTATGGTTTGCTTTAAACAGATGTTACTTTGCTGTTAATTTCTTTTTTCTGACTGGAGTTAGTTTTCCTGTAATGATGTTACTATTTGAATATCGCTCGACTTTCCTGTGTAAAGAAAGTATGACCTTGCAAGACCAAGTTTATAGGACTAATCACAGTTTAACCTGTAAGTAGGAATCCTGTCGGATAGAATATCTTCTGTAGTTTTATCTTCTATAGTTATTTTTGTGGGGATTTTTTTAGGAGCCTTCTGAAAGAGAGGGGTGTTTCTGTGCTTGAAAATTTTATATACATGCATTAAATATGTATGCCTATGAGTTTGATGGAATGTGTGTATATTTAAAAAAAATAGCATACTAAAAGCAGAAAAAAGTTGTGGAAATTTCCAAGGCAGATGTAGCAGATTAATTTTTTTAGCCTGATTCCTTTCCAAATCAGCTCTCTATATTTACTTTTATTTGATGCCCGTTATTTAAGTACTGCAATTTCTGCTTTGTTTGGAGAGGGGGAAACCCTTATGGATAATTTTTAAAATATTTCTTTTGTGAAGTTAATTGTTTTTTATTTGTTTCCAGGAAATGGCTCTTGAAGTTAAATGAGGCTGGATAAAACACATAAATGAAGCAGAAGCTGCTCTGCATGTGTTAGGGCTATATCACCACAAGCACTGCTGATCAGCCAGACTTGGTAACTTGTCATAATGAAGAAAATTAGTCTCAAAACAATTCGCAAGTCCTTTAACTTAAATAAAAGTAAAGATGAAAGCAATTTTGTAGTGGTTGTGTTTCAGCAGCCATCGTTAAGTGAATTTGGAAAAGATGACTCCTTGTTTGGCAGCTGCTATGGTAAAGATTTGGCTAGCTGTGAAGTCAATAGTGAAGATGAAAAAGGAGGCAAAAATAGATCAAAAAGCGAAAGCTTAATGGGTACGTTAAAAAGGAGGCTTTCAGCAAAACAAAAACAGAAAGGCAAAGGCAGCACACCATCTGTAAGCTCTGCAGATGATGACACCTTTTCTTCCTCATCTGCTCCAATAACCTTCAAAGATGTGCGAGCTCAAAGACCTCTGAGATCCACTTCCCTCCGTAATCACCATTACAGTCCAACTCCGTGGCCCCTTCGACCTACAAATTCAGAAGAGACTTGCATCAAAATGGAAGTGAAAGTCAAGGCCTTGGTCCATTCCTCTAATCCAAGCCCAGCACTGAATGGTGTTCGAAAGGACTTCCATGACTTGCAGTCAGACAACGTGTTCCAGGAGCAAAACAATGCATTAAAAAATACGGAATCTCAGAACGGGGACTTGCATCTTCATATTGATGAACATGTGCCTGTAGTTATTGGATTAATGCCTCAGGACTACATTCAGTATACTGTGCCTTTAGATGAGGGAATGTATCCTTTGGAAGGATCACGTAGTTACTGTCTGGATAGTTCCTCACCCATGGAAGTTTCAACTGTTTCTTCTCAAGTGGGGGGAAACACTTTCCATGAAGAAGAGAGCCAAGTGGATCAGGATGTAGTCGTTGCACCAGATATCTTTGTGGACCAGACGGTGAATGGTTTGTTGATTGGTACCACAGGAGTCATGTTGCAAAGCCCAAGAGTTAGTCACAGCGATGTCCCTCCACTCTCACCTTTGCTACCTCCAATGCAGAATAATCAAATCCAAAGGAACTTCAGTGGATTGAATGGCACAGATGCCCACGTGGCTGAAAGTATGCGCTGCCATTTGAATTTTGATCCTAACACTGCCCCTGGAGTTGGAAGAGTTTATGATTCTGTACAGAACAGTGGTCCTATGGTTGTGACAAGTCTCACAGAAGAACTGAAAAAACTTGCGAAACAAGGGTGGTACTGGGGCCCCATTACACGTTGGGAGGCAGAGGGAAAATTAGCTAATGTGCCTGATGGCTCGTTTCTTGTTCGAGATAGTTCTGATGATCGTTATCTTTTAAGTTTGAGTTTTCGTTCCCATGGAAAAACTCTTCACACTAGAATTGAACACTCAAATGGTAGGTTTAGCTTTTATGAACAACCAGATGTGGAGGGACATACATCTATAGTTGACTTAATTGAACATTCAATCAGGGACTCTGAAAATGGAGCTTTCTGCTATTCGAGATCCCGACTGCCTGGATCTGCAACTTACCCAGTGAGACTGACAAATCCAGTATCTCGGTTTATGCAGGTGCGTTCTTTACAATATCTGTGTCGTTTTGTAATACGTCAGTACACCAGAATAGACCTGATTCAGAAACTGCCTTTGCCAAACAAAATGAAGGATTATTTACAGGAAAAGCACTACTGAAAGCTTATGGGAATCTTGCATCTTGCACTTTGGGAACAACAACAACAAAAAAGAGATTGAATTACAGTTTACAGACTTTCATTATTATCAAAATCTTTTGCTGCCATAAAAATATTTCATTTTTGTGTGTAAAAGAAAAGTAATGCATTTGGATTTATGTTTTTGTTTTGGGATTTTTTTGTGTATTTTGGGGGGCTTTTTTTTTTTGAAAGAATGATCTCAAGTTTATTTTTAGAAGTGTGAAATAGCTATCTTTCATCAATGTGCAGATTAATCACAATGTGAATGATAAAATTCTCCTTAATTTCCCCCAAGTCCTTTGCTGCTATCCACTGTGATTTTTATGCATTGAAAGCACATTTCATGTGTATTCAACCATAAGTAAAAGTCAAATGAAACTTGTTGAATGGAATTTTTTTTTCCTTTAAAATAGCCTGTTTAAACAAAAAATGATCGTGGATAAAAAACATATTGGTATTCTAAATTACAGAATTTACATCTATGTTAAAAACAATTTTCTAGTATCTTAATTATAAATTTCTATAGAGAGATGCCCTGATGTAGAACTTATAGACAGAGCTGTGTGATAAGAACATGGTTATGCAGCATATCTTTGGGAAAAAAAACACCTTTCTCCTAAGCCTTGTATTGTCTGTACACTATTTTGTGTTTGAGAAGGTTGGTTCAGCTTTCTTCTTGTCTCAGTATTTTGTCCTTCTAAAAATGGCCTTTATAAAAGAAAAAGTCTGTGAAAGTCGATGTGTAGTACCTATAAGGAAATCGTGATATTGGGGCCTTGTCAAATAGTACCTTTTAAAATCATGCTATTAGTTAAATAAATGAACACCTACCAGGTCCCCTCTTTCTGTCCTTTTCCCTCCTACCTCCTCTTGGGGGGAGGGGAGGTGGAGGTGGGGAATTTCCTGGATTTGTAGGAAGACTCTAGGAATTTTTATTATGGGAACATAAATTGATAAGCCATTTTAGGGATGGGGTAAAACTTCTGATAGGATGATTTATACAATATATATTCAAACTACTTGAAATTTTGTCATTTTCTGCATTTTTTCACTTCAGAAATGCAGTAATACACTAATGTCCTTTGGATTGTTTTCCCCTTTTTTTGGATATCCTTTGGGGAGGAAGGAACAGGACTGATAACACTTTGGATGGAAGATGCTTAAAATGCATCTCTAAAGCTATGTTCTCATAGCCTTTGAAATTATGGGGAAAAGAGGTTTGGATATACATTGACTGCAGAAAATGTTTCACTTTAGTGTCATGAAATATGTTTTGACATATGAAATATTGAATCAATTAAGTAAATGTTTATGATATCTGTCAAAGATTCTGGCATTTGAAAAGCTTACAGT